TCAGACCCCCTGAGCCCCGGTGAGAGGTCAGGAGTCAGACCCCCTGAGCCCCGGTGAGAGGTCAGGAGTCAGACCCCCTGAGCCCCGGTGAGAGGTTGTGAGTCATTCAGACCCCCTGAGCCCCAGTGAGAGGTCAGGAGTCAGGTCCTGTGAGTGTGTCAGCTCTGGAGAGATTGTTGAGACCCCATTGGAATAAGAAACACGAGGAGTCTGGTAGGTCTGTAGAAGATGAAGAGGTAGCAGATGGAAGGTGTTCCTGTCTACCTGAAGTCTCAGAGTGAGAGTCAAATTCTCACTTCAGGTATCCTGAACCAAGAAGAGACTGGCCAAAAGGCACAGGGGATCCCTCTGGCATGGCATCATGTCGAGAGACAAGACAGACAGAGGGCCAGTAGATAGAAGCCCCTCACCAGACATAGAGGGCAGACGGTGTGATGTAGATGTGCTGCCAGCAGTGGTAGAGGTGGGAGGTCCGATGTGGGGTTCCTTTGGTAGTTTGGGCTTTGGGGGGGGTCAGACTGACCCTCAGAAAGAGAAGCCTATGGCGCATCACTGTCCCCTCCTGGGTGTCAGCACCAGAGGTAAGGGTTGCCGAAAGGATACCACCATGTGGCTCAGGCAGAAAAGAGTTTAGTTGGGATAGCCAATCTTCCAGGCTGCACCTGAGAGCAGGCTGTAGTGTGTAACAGCCCATATTAATGGCAGAGAGAGATCCTGTAACTAGCATATGAGGAGCGGAGCGCAGAGCCCAGGGCACCCCCCACTGTCTGAGGAGTACGGAGGAGTCCACAGGGACAGAGTCAAATTCTCTTCAGATGTCCCCCAGATGAGAAGAGACTGGCTAAAAGGTGTAGGGGAATCCCTCTGGCATGGTGCCAAGCCAAAGGAGAGACAGAAGGCCTATAGTTAGGGGTCACTCGCCAGCAGAGGGGCAATGGTGAGGTGCGGAGGTGTGGCCAGCAGGGTAGAGGTGGGGGGCCTGACATGGGCTCCTTTGGCAGCTTGGATCTGAGGAGGGGTGGTCAAGAGGCGACTGACCCTCAGAAAGAGTAGAGGAGGGGATCTGTGGTGCGGCACCGTCCCCTCCAGGGTGAGCTTTTCCTGAGCACCAGGAGGGGCCCTCAGGGGAGGGGTCAGTGAGCATGGGAGCAACATGGAGTTACTAGAACAAAGCCGATCGTCATTCAGAATTGTGAAGACTTTGAGGACTCTTGGATAGGGACTGAATGCACCTTGTATTATTGAATGGTCAGGAGCCTTTGGGGGAGAAAGAAGGGAGGTCTTACTGTTTGAATACTATCTGGGGTGATGATGGATGAGGTGGGCTCTTGATGAAGAAGGTCGGTCTCTGGGTTATCTTTGAAGGTTATGTGCATTCCCCAGTTCCTGCACTGCTTTTGGACACCTCCCTGACACACCCTCCCTACCCTCACAGACTGAAATTTCTAAAACTGTGATCTAAGTGATGGAATTCTAATAGCAATGAGAGGGTGAACATGTGACCCAGCCAGGCTGGTTCCCTAGTAGAGCCTCATGGTGCTTCCAGACAGGGAGAGGCCTTCGGAACGTCCAGGATCCCCGGCTGCCTCTCCCCTGGCCTCGGGCAGTGTCTGAAAATAGAGTGAAGCCCGGAAGTCCCACTGTGGGACTTTTTGTCCCTTTCTGCAAGTAGTTTCTATTTCTTACTCAGCGGCTGTGGAGAATCAGTATAGTGTTCTTTTTATTTAATGCAGATGCCCTGCTTGGTTGCTTCCCAAGTCTGTTTCCTTAAAAACAAACACCACCACCACTGAAAAACATAAATGGGAAAAAGGTTGATATGATTAATTTGAGTTTTCCTTGAAGTAACTTGTAATATCTGTAATTTGTTATTTGTCGCTTGAATTGCTTGAAACATGATTTATTTGAATGTGAGTTTTCAAAAGCATCAAGATCAGCCTCCTGTGTCTCTTGACTCTGGGCGAGCAGTGACCAGATGCTCTTGGCAGAAGTAGGTCAGGACTGACCTCCAGCAACAGAGGAACACATCCAGTCCCCCTCCACTCACATGCCACTCAGCTTCATGGGCACCTGCTTTACAGACAGCAGAGGATGCCAAAGTAATCAAAATTGCTTGCAGCACAATGACCTGGAAAGATAGAACCTAAACCTGGTCTTAGGTTCTGAGCAGGCTCCTTCTACACACATGTCCCACAGGACCAGTAGAGGATCATTCTAGAAGGAGGATTCTACTAACTATAAAATAGTGATGGTCAGTTCTGAGGTGAAATATCAGCATTTGGTTTGTAAGACATTGTTTTCCATTTAGAACTCATGGCATCAAATATTTAGTCAGTAATGACAACTCACCCCAGGCAAAGGGTTTAAATGTGACTATGCTCTTTGCCAGAGACGGCTGGACTCTGTCTGTACTAATGAATAGATGTAAGGAAGAGCAGCTTTTCGGGTGCTGTGCAAAGCGTCACGATTTTAGGCTGCTACTTCGCAGGGTTGCTTTTGGTAGTTGATCGGTTTGTCCTTTCTGGGTTAGTGTTCCGCAGAGCTATGGTTGCCTGTATAGCATATGCTTTACGACTGACACAATGCTCAGTCCTTGGGACCAGTCAGCTTATACAAATGGCTGCTACAGCAGATACAATGTTGCAGCAATTTAAAACAGACTTTGGGAAGGGAGTTTCAAATTTTCACATAGCACATCAAGCCTCCTAATTAGCTACATATGGCTGGAGAGTTTGGGTCTGATAAGCCTGAAAGCCTTTGTGCTTGGGTTCCTGCTATGAACTTCATCTCTGGTGCAGGAACAGCGTGGTTCTTTATCTCACTCATGTTCAAAGAACTCATGGTAGGCAGTGGTCACCATAGCAATAAAGGCCATAAATTCCTGAAAGTCACATTCTCCATCTCCATCTTCATCCAGTGTTTCCATGACTTTGTCCACAACCTCCTGCTCTTTGATTTCTTAAAAGTGATAGGAAAAGTTGTCCAACTTAATTTTAAGTGGAATATGTAGCCATCACAAAGTGATTCAACATTGCTTGGCTGACAGTTTGTATCAGAAATAATCCTAAAACAAATGCAAAATACCGGAAAAGATTTCTCCTGTGACCAGGGAACTATTGGCCACGCAAAACTCTCTGGGAGTCTATGTCTTTCCTCCTTTAAATCCTGTGGAACAGGGGCTGGGAAGATGGCTTAGTGGTAGAGTGCTCGCCTAGCATGCATGAAACCCTGGGTTCAATTCCTCAGTACCACATACACAGAAAAAGCAGGAAGTGGTGCTGTAGCTCAAGTGGTAGAGCACTAGCCTTAAGCACAGAGAGGCTCAAGGACAATGCCCAGGTCCTGAGTTCAAGCTCCAGGACTGGCAAAAATAAATAAATCCAGTGGGACCGTGGACACTGAAAAAGAATAGAACAGTGAGTATGTAAACATCTTCAGGGTATTATCAAAACACATGTGAAAATAAAGAAAAGAGATGAACTTTTGGTGTTCCTGAGTTTCATTTCTGGGGTAGGGGTTCTCTCTGGTAATGGTTTCAGTGGATTTTAATATTTTCCTGAAATGCTTGGGGACACTTGGAAATGCTAATTCCTACATTCTTTCTCCCATTCAAGTTGGGTTCTTTTTTTTAAGCTGTTTGGAGGCCTTTCCTGATAGTCCTGCCTGACACCAGAGCCAAATACATGGCGAGGTAACTAGGTGATGTGTGGTCATAGTACAGGGTTTCAAACACGGTGGAGAGAATCTGGGCCTGGAACACTGACTCTCAGGCATCTCTGAATCCAAAGGGTTCAAAGTTGGGGCTTTGCCCAGTTGGCAGAGCTCTTGCCTAGCAAATGCAAGATGCTGAGGTTCAGACCCCAGTAAGGTCAAGTATTATGAAAGGTCCACTGGTGATTGCTGTGCACGTAGGCTGCGCCTTGTAATACACCTCAGAGGCCAGGGTTTGGATTTACAATGTTCTCCAAAAGCTCATAAGCTGAAGGCTCGGTTCCCTGCCTGTTGTGCCTCTGAAAGGTAGTGGGACCTTCAGGAGGTGGGGGCCTCGCGGGAAGAAGTTATCTTGCTAGGTGTGTCCTCAGAGGGGACATCGAGACCCTAGTCCTTCCTTTCTTCACTTCCCAGATGCTGGCAGGTGGGCAGCTTTGAGCCACCATTTGCTCCTCAACATGGCCCAAACCAACAGATCCAAAATATGTCTTTCCTCAGGTAATTTCTCAGATATTTTTGTCACAGTAATAAAAAACTGACAGACACATTAGGTTTGCTTTCAAACTGAAATTACACTGCTAAAACCAGGCCAGCCAGCTCCCAGGCCTAGAGCTCAAGCCCCACGACTGACAAAGAAAAAAGAAAGAGATCTTTCATGCTATTGTTTCTAACATATTTATAAGATATGTCTTTATTGCTTTGTCTGTCCCTCTCCCATGGTATAACCCCTGCTTTCACTATATAATGCTGGTATATGTGGAGGGGAAGGGAAAAAACAAATAGTTAAAACAGGGATACAGGAGGACACATTGCAACCATGAGATGTACAAGTCGTTATGTGGAAAACGAACTTTACAACTTTGGTGGGGGGAAGGGGGGGATGCGAAGGGATGGGAAGGGGAAACAAAGGAGGAGGCTACAATGCTTGATAAGAAATGTACTCATTATCTTACCCATGTAATTGTAACCCCTCTGTGGGTATTTTCACAATAAAAAATAAAAATAAAAAAATAAAACCAGGCCAGCAAGTGTTCGTGATACTTTGGTATACCTTGAGTTACCAGTAATAAATTGTGGGTCCTCTATGGTAACGTTTTCTGTTTTAAAATCAGTAATAGATGCTATTATTAGCTACTATTTGTTGAGCTTTCACTATGTAATAAGGGCTTGATCTGATAAGTCTGTGTTGGTCTGAGCAAATGTCTCAAAAGAAAAAATGAACTTTTGATGCTCCTGAGCTTTCTGTTGTTAATGTAGTGAAGGTTCATCCTTATTGTAATTTTTTTTTATAGAGATCAGCTAGGACATTTTTTTATTAAATCAAAAGACAGAATTGGTGGGGCATACTGGTCACATAGATTGTTTTGTGTGACCCTAAATGAGGAAAGCAGTCCCAGACTCAGGTGTGGGAATTCCCCAGCAAGCTTTGCTTCTTAACAATGGAGTTAAGTAGGGTAGGGCAGGAGAGCCCAGCCAGCCACCCGGGTAGCATGGACTCTCATCTTTCCATTACCGTCTGATAGGGCGCCATCCCAGTGTCTTGGACCCATCCCCAGGCTGGGCCTTTGGTCAGACAAGTATGCCCCACTTTGTTTCCTGGCCATTGCTTCCTAGCAGGGGCGGTCACTTCTACAACCGAGGAAATCCCTTGCTGCAGTAAGTCCAGTCCACACAGGACTCCACCAGCCCATTGGCCTTCAGGTGAGCAGCAGTGTTGATTCAGAGCACCAGGAGACGTAGGAAGTAGATGGATTGTATGGGAGCCCAGGTTGGCGAGGACCAGGGCAGCAGACTCAAGTGTCCAGATAGGCCCCAGCCAGAGAGGCCTCCAGGGGCTGCCACAGCTTTCTGATAGGAGCCCAAACAGAAGAAAGTTCCTCCCAGTGTTCTGTATTCCTGGAGCCCCCTTGAGGGGCTTCTGGCTTCCAAAAGGTGTGTCAGGTGTGGGCCTGCAGCGCTCACAGTATTAAATTATCAGGTGCTTCGTATTTATTGAACATGTGGCATCTTTTATCTCTAAATACTAAACATCTGTAATAAAGCCCAAAGGTATCCTTTCACCAAAGTTCATTTTTCTTGTGCTTACACTGAAACAGGAACTCGAGGCCTGGGCACTGTCCCTAAGCTTTTGTGCTCAAGGCTAGTGCTCTACCATTTGAGCCACAGCTCCACTTCCAGATTTCTGGTGGTTAATTGGTGATAGAGTCTTAAATATTTGTCTTCCTGGGCTGCCTTCAAACCTCAATCCTCAGATCTCAGCCTCCTGAGTAGCTGCAATTACAGGTGTGAGCCACCAGTGCCTAGCCTCTCTCTGTCTCTGTCTTTCTGTTTGTCTCTCTGCCTTTCTCTTGATTCTTTCACTCTCCTCCTCCTACCTCTGTTGAGACGGGGAGTCACTATGTTTGTCCAGTCTCTCAAATTCACAATACTGCCCCAGCCACCTACTTGTTTTCTCATGTGTCCACTTGGGCTCTGACAGGCCATACATGTTTTCCCATCCCATTCTGCTGTCATAGTCACCTGTCAGTCCTTGATTTTCAGGGACAGATGACAGGGAAATGGAAACAGTGGCCCATTTTAGCCTTGACTCCCAGCTGTTCAAATCAATGTCTAGAAGCAACCCAAAAATCTATATATGATCAGAACCCTATCAGGGCAGCTCAGAAGAGAAAGTGTAAGGTGGATTTTGTTTGTCTTTGTTTTGAGCCCAGGGGGGCCCGATGGTCATCAGACTCCTAACAGCTGGGCTTACATGTGCTCGCCATTGCTCTGGCCTGGCATAGGTAGTTCAATGCCTGGAAAGGCACACAGGTGGGCTGTGGGTTTCCCAAGGGGAGACTCACCTCCAGGAAGTGGGAGAGCTCACTGTTGATGAGGGCCTTCAGTTCAGACTTCTTCAGCTTGTGCTTGTCACCTTCCCTTCCAGAGTACTGGTGGAAGACGTCAAGGAGGGCAACCAGCACCTTCTCCAGCTCAGACATCCTGGGGACAGCAGGAAAGACACCCTTTCATGCCTGCTGCCTGCTCTACGAGGCCTCTAATGTGCAGACCTCCGCTCAGGCAAGGCTGGGCCCAGGACTCTTGTGGTGGTGGTGGTGGGGACATTGAAACGTCACAATTCCATCCTCCTCTTAGTCCCGCCTGCTTCCTGTGTCCCTGTGTGCTCTGGAGAAGTTTCACTGGTCTCTAGCCTCTGGTTGGGTTGAGTCAAGTGCAAGTTTCAGAAAAAATGCATCTGCAGAGCAGGGAGGGAACTTGGATGGATTGCACCTCCTGGATGGCTGCTCTCAGCTTTCAGGGGGCTCAGATTAAGCAGGTAAGCAGAGCTCCAACTCAGAAGGAGGCTTGGTGGGCACTAAGGTGAGTAGGAGCAAATCAGGGCACAAAAATCAATAGCACTCCTATGTCCAACTAGACAATATGGAAGAGAATATCCTATTCATAAACCAAAGTATAGGAGGGCATGGGGGTGGGGGGTGGAGAGGGGAAGGGATGGGAAGGGGAAACAAAGGAGGAGGCAACAATGCTTGATAAGAAATGTACTCACTATCTCCCATGTAATTGTAACCCCTCTTAAGGTATGTTCACATTAAATTTTATATATATATATATATATATATATATATATATATACACACACACATATCTTTGAGTAATTATACAAAGGAGTTTCCATCTAACATGCTAATAACTTTTTCCCTTTTAAATTCTTCCACTTGGGGCTGGAGGTGTTGCTCAATGGTTAGAGCACTTGCTTAGTAAGTTCAAGGACCCGAGTTCAAACCTCATACCCTAAAATAAAAAACATAAATACAATTAAATTTTTCCACTTAAGGAGCAGTTGGTGGTTTATAAATTATTTATCTTCTAAGAGAGTTATCTTTGTTTTCTTCATCCCTCATACTGTACGTATTCTGCCTTAATCTTATTATAGTGAAAGTAAGAGAATTTTAGGATTTTAACTTCTTGGAAAGACACATTCTGTATCATGTAGGAGACCCATTAAAGAGGGGGGTTCTTCCTCCTTGAGAAAGGTAATGCCAAAGAAAGCTTACTTTTACTCCCTGTGTCTTTTAACCAATTTATTATTGTTTCAACCATCCTGTAATTTCTTAGTGGTGTCTGGGCAGGATGTGGGGCACTGGAATTTCAAGCTGGAAACCGGATAGCAGTGACCTAGAGAAGCACCTGGGGGGAAGGCAAGTTCTTGTTCAAGAATTTGGGGGCTGGGGCCCGGTGGCTCATGCCTGTAATCCTAGCTTCTCAGGAGGCTGAGATCTGAGGATCATGGGCAGAAAAGTCTGTGAGACTCATCTCCAATATAAACCACTAGAAAACTGGAAGTGGCACTGTGGCTCAAGCAGTAGAGTGCTCACTTTGAGCTGAAGAGCTGAGGACAGCGCCCAGGCCCAGAGTTCAAGCCCCAAGACCGACAAGAAAAAAAAGAATTTGGGGGTAAGCAGGCTCCAGAGGGAAGCCAAAACCATTCCTTCCAAGAGAAGATGCAGTATTCATCTTGGAAAAATGTCAAAAGCCACTAGAATTGAAGTCTCTGATTTATGGAAAAGAAAACAGGTAGCACATATCTGTGTCTGCTTGGTGTTGGTGTATTCCGTGGTATAAATAGCAATAATAGGGTCAACAGTGAGGTCAGGCCCAAAGCGTGGAATGCCTGTCCACAGTTTAAAATGCTGCTTATTGTCCCAAAGGGTCGTTTTCAGTTCCCTGTCCCTCCCTGACCACCCTCTGTCTCCCTCTGTCTCTGTCTCTGTGTGTCTGTCTGTGTGTCTGTCTCTCTCCCTCTCTCTCCCTCTCTTCTCTGTCTCTCTGTCTCTGTCTCTGTCTCTATCTCTCTGTCTGTCTGTCTCTGTCTGTCTCTGTCTCTGTCTGTCTGTCTCCCTCTCTCTCGCTCTCTTCTCTGTCTTTCTGTCTCTGTCTGTCTCTGTCTCTCTGTCTGTCTGTCTCTGTCTCTCTGTCTGTCTCTGTCTGTCTGTCTGTCTGTCTGTCTGTCTGTTTTTCTCTCTCTCTCTCTCTGTCACACACACACACAGAATGGAAGGAAGTTTTTCCTGAGCCTTCTCAGTCATTGGCTCCTTCTCACCTTCCCTGGCTGCCTTCTGTGCCCGGATGTGTTTCTGGCTTCAGTATCTCCAAGTAGCAGAACTGAGCTGGAGTCAGCCACTTATTCCTCCCAAAGCAGGGGTGGGGTGTGGCCCCTGCAGTCCACTGTGGGCCAGGGTGGCCAATGGGGGCTGTGGGCGGGGAGCTGTGCTGCCAGGCTGCACAGAGGCTGCATTGACCGGGCTCCCAGGGGACTTGCTGGAGAGCCAGGGTTCACAGCCCCAGAAGGAAGGCAGGAAGTGAGGAGTCCACTTTGTGCACCATTTACATGAATTCTGATGTTCTTTTCAAAGCAAGGCTCAGGGTGAGGAGAGAAGAGAAACACTGACTAAACAAATCAATGTGCAGCCAAAGCCTGGAGGCGCCTAAGTGCAGGCTGACCATAGGAGACTGAGTGGCTGTGGCTGGTCCAATGTGGAGGCCCATGGGCTTCACCTTGGCCAGTGTCCCTGGTCTGACTGCCTCCTGGAAATGTGCCCCCTATGGACATCAGTGCAGGCTACTGTCTGCCCCTGGGCTCCTCCCGGCTGCTGGGAGGAGCTGCTGGGCTGAGCACTGCAGGGGTGACACAGGGTTCTGGCTGCTTTTAGGGAAACTGTTCAATATGAAGATGTTAGGACTCAGTCCTCGCTCTTCCCCTGGGTGAAAGATCACAGGCTGTCAGAGCTAGACATGCTTCAGAAGTGTCACTCCGGGGTCCATAGCCAGCATCTGGAAAGCCAGGTCTGGACTTCAGCAGCATCTTTCCCCGGCTTGCAAATGTAGAAACCAGCCTGGGTTCTGTCCACAAGCTGGCCTTCCCTCTAACAGCTCATCCAACATGCCATGGTCCCCCGAGGTCCCTGGCCGAGCCAGCCCAGGCTCCTCGGCATGCTGTGCATGCGTGGCTGGGGCCACACGGAGCTCCCAGGTACCCAGGGGGCCTGCTGTCAGTCCCTCCTAAGGGGCAGAAAGTCCATGCTGCTCCCTCTAGAAGTGTACCCTGGAAACAGTACAGGGCTGCAAGTCTAGGGTTTGTCTCAGGCCAGGTCCCACCCACCCTCCACGCTGCACAAGCAACAAAGTTTGTTCCACTGTCTCTGATGAAATGTTGAGCACGTGCTTGCTCTGCAAAGCTCAGAACCTGCCTGAGTATGAGAAAAGAGCATGGGTGCTGGGCCGTGGGAGTGTTTACACTCCATTCAAACCAGAGAGACCTTCAGCTTGTTCCCGCTGGAGTTGTGTCAGCTCCAGGGCTCAGGCAGGCCTGCTGGATCGCAGGGTGGCGACCGTGTTAAGGGACCCCGTGTGTCAGGCTCTGTGGAGCAGACTGGAGGGGGAGGTGGCACAGAGCTCAAAGGAGAAGAGCTAAGACACACAACCTCCATTTCCCACAGACTCACATCACTGCTCTTCTTGAATCTCACCTCCATCATTTAAACAGCAGTTCAACTTCGGATAAACAGCTAAATCTCTGCAAGAGGAACAACCACAGCTCCCTCAGGGCTCATGTGGTTGGGTTCTGTGGTCATTTTTCTTTCTTTTTTTTTTTTTTTTTTTTTGGGTCCCATCATGGGGCCTGAACTCTGGGCCTGGGCGCTGTCCCTCAACTCTTTTTTTTTCTTTGTCAGTTGTGGGGCTTGAACTCTGGGCCTGGGCACTGTCCCTCAGCTCTTCAGCTCAAGGCTAGCGCTCTACCACTTGAGCTACAGCGCCACTTCCGGTTTTCTGGTGGTTTATTGGAGATAGGAGTCTCACGGTCTCTCCTGCCCGGGCTGGCTTTGAAACGCGATCCTCAGATCTCAGCCTCCTGAGTAGCTAGGATTACAGGCGTGAGCCACCAGCGCCCGGCTTGTCCCTCAGCTCTTCAGCTCAAGGCTAGTGCCCTACCACTTGAGCCACAGCACCGCTTTTGCTTTTTGCTTATGTGGTGCTGAGGAATCGAACCCAGGGCCTCATGCATGCAAGGCAAGCTCCCTACCACTGAGCCACCTTCCCAGCCCCTCATTTTCCTTTGACCTCATACTTCCTACAAAAGGAAAATGTCAGGGTGGTCACTGAATCACTGCCGTGTGGAATCAGGACCTCTCCCAGCTCTCAGACCTAACATATCTTGCTTGACAGGAAAGCTAGTCTCCTTGAAGGAGAGCCTGCTTTCCTGCTATGAGTTTGGACCACCATCTTCTCAAGTGAATGTGGCCATTTACTAAAGAGAAGGAAAGAGCCTGTGTCTCTCAGAGAGGGTTAGATGTTGCCTGAGCCATACCAACTTGAAGGAAGCCAAAATGCTACCCTGGTTGCTAGTCAGAGTAGGAATTTGTGATGGTCCTGACTTGACAGAGGTCTTTACCAGTTTCTCACAGTGAGTCCAATTGGTGTATTTTCCCTATAGTCATTTTCTCAGTGTCTGAATGTACAACTGAAACAAATCTGCATGGCCACTGGCCAGTTCCTCACGGGCTTTCTTACTTCAGGTGACAGGAAAAGCTAAGTTAGAAGATGTAGATCCTCACTTTCTCATACAGAGTAGGACTGTGCCCTTGTCCCTGAGCACTGCAGGGGTAAGTCTGCCATCAAAAAGTTGAAAGGAGCAGGGTTGCATCACTGTCACCACCTCAGGCCTTTGTGGTCTGTGCTTGCGTCCACATACTGCAGAATGCCAGCTATTGCATTTCGTGTCACCTATACCCTTCTCCCTGCAAACACTGAGTTAGGCCTTGGAGCCTTCAGATATGCACCTGAATGTGGAGGAAAAAGTGCAAGTGACTCCCCCAGGTTTCCCTGGAGTTAAGTAGCTCTTGCAACATCCAAAGTGCCTGGGGCTCTGGAAGAGGAGCAGAGCTCTGGCTTTCCCGTGGGCTGCACAGGGTTTTGGCGCTGCTAACAAGAG